TAGTCGCACTAATGCAACTTCTACTTCGTTTGCTGTTACCATTTCAATATACGATATGCTATGGTGTTCTTCTGCTTCTGGCCAAGATGTCTGGAAAGCGTACAAGGAAGATGTTTGATAAGCACCCTACGCCCTACCAATTGCGATGCCACTTTCCATTTCACGAACGGTGACCGTGAGGTCGCCACCCTCTGCAAAACTCGAGGTGTTGAGCGTCCAGCTCAGCCCATGTCGGGTAGGATCACAGCTGCCTGCATCTGACCGCTTCCTGATACGGAGCTGTTTAGGTCAGGTTCCTTTGAGGACGTCATTTAGGGATACATATGGACATATAGGGTTTAGGGTTTCTGAAAATGGGGTTCCTTTTTGGGAGTCCGCAAAATAAGGCGGGACCATCGGAAATTGTCGTCTAAACATTTCTTGATCCAACGTTGCGTGTTTCTACAATGGTTGGGCAGCAATTGCTTGTTGGAGTTTTGGAGTCCATTAGTGCACGGCGCGTAGGTTAGCGTGGGTCTCTACTTGTTGGAAACTACCACCTGGTCCATTTTCCTTTTCACCGCTACAATCCCTCGCTGTAGCCTGTGAATACGCTTCCAGGTTAAGGACAGCCTCTAGACTTAAACGCTCTCGCAAGGCGCTCGACAACACTCACAAGATAATGGTGGCTCACAAGCTAAAAACATAAACTTAAGCCTTCAAAGCTGCGGATCCCGAGCGAAATCTGCCAAAACTTGTCATGTACCTTCGGCCAGTAAAGGTTTTCCAGCTGCCTGCGGGCCCGCGTCGAAGCTGAGCAACTCGTACTGCAATTCTGGAAATCAGAGGCACTCAGCGGGGTTTGTTCATGGTGACAGTGACTAGGACTTTCTTGGGCAGCTACAAGTTGGCGATGGTTGGCGTGTAACCCTTTCCCCTAATGCTCGCTTTGTATTAATAAACCCCCCTCCCCCCCCTCAATTGATCTATTTCCGTTCTGGGGGAGCCCGGAATAATAATGCCCAAAACGTAGGTTTTCAACGCATATTTAGAGTTAATTAGAACCTACTTAAGTCATTGCCCCGGCCAAAATCACACATTTTATTAATATTAAAGAGCCCCCCTAATCCATATATATATATATATGGTAACCCCCCCCTAGGACCAACCTTTAGCCTTTT